AAAAAACAAGAAAGAATCATGTTTGTATTTAATTTTATTATAGTTTTTTAATTTACAGAATTCTTATTCAATAGAAACAAATTTAATTTGTACGAAATTTACTTTATTTTAAAATAAAAAATAATAAATATTTTTAAATAAAATAAAACAAAATAAAATTTGTGTTAAGCTGTATTTTATATTTGTATCAATTTTTTAATTTTTAGATATAGTACATATTAAAATCCTTATTATTTTAAAAATATGTATTTAATACAAAAGGTTTAGGTGAAGATTGATCTGAAAATTGAGTCAATTGTTAAATTTAGTTATAACCATATCAAAGATCATTCTTTGTAAATCTATTTATACAAAGTACTTAAAACCTCTATAATTGTATATCATCCCTTCAACTGTTTAATTATTTATTTAATTAATTAATTTCTAAAGGAATATTACTCTTTAAAGAAGATCAAAGCTCCTTTGCAATTTCTTCTGCTATGACAAATAGTCATATATGAATTGTTTATTGTTTGCAAAAGCTCATAGTCAAATTGAGAGTTGTAATAAATTGAATCAATTTTTTTGATCATGATCTATGAAAAAACAGTCAAGTCTCTATGCATAAGAAAAGAAAATAAAATAAAACACACTATGTGTACATTAAGAGGTTTTTTTGGTTTTCAAATGTAACTTCATGGTTGTCAACTAGCTTTTAAATAAAAAAAGTTCCAGCTACATTTTACTATAAAAAAAAATGGAATTCCACTTTTGTTCTATTTTTTATGCTTCTTATTATTGTAACATGCTTAAATACTAAAAACTTTTATAAATTTTACAAGTTTTAATTCAACTTAAAGTTTTATTATTAAGATTTAGCATTCATTCAAACTAGACTCTATCATATTTTTTAACCAATGAAGGTTTTTATCTATCGTATAATCATTCTTAGTTCTTTTTAAAACTATTCTAGGACCTTGTAAACTAAATAAAAAACTAATTCATTTCAATTTTATATTTAGTCTTTCTTTAGTATTTAAGTTCTACTTATTTTTTATTATTTATTCTAATTATATTCCAATCTCCTTAATTAAGTAATATTAATTCATCAAGATGAATAAGTTAAGTCAAATTTATTTAATCAAATTAGATTATAAAAGCATTTACATAAATAATAAAAAAAAAACTTGTTGTTAATAACCAATAAAGAGTAATTTTGAGAGTAATTTTTTAAAAATAATAGTAAGGATAAAAATCTTTAATTATTGATTAACTCTTTAATATTTTTAAAAAAGAAGATATATATCTTTTTAAATTTTCGCCAGTTGGTATTATAATTGAAATTGCTTTTATAACTTAGTCCAATTGATGAGATAACAAACTTTGTCAAATCATCTTAACATTTCTTATTTTTTGGTGATTCTATTTTTATAAAAAAGATTCTTTAGATTTTTTAATTTTAATTCAATTTAATTAGAGATTTACAACTATTTTAAATAAACACAATATTAGTGACTTATTTTTAAAATTACTGATTTATTTTTAATTTCTTTTCCAACACTAGTAAAGTCTTTCCGCTATTCTTGTTTGCATTATTTACTTCCATTTTTATTAGGCGCCATAGTTCTTGATAAAAGTATTATATTCAGTCTTGAATTGTACCAAGTTTTTAAAGCAAGTAGAGACAATATCTTGTGTCATACTTAAAATACTGGTAAATACTATAGTCGAATTGTCAACAACCTCCAGTTAAATTAAAGTGTAATTGTTGATGCAATATAAGGCAATTTAAGTAGAGTAAGTCTCTTTTATAAACATGCTAGAAGAATAGTAATAGTCTCATCTAATAGATTTTTGTATATCTTTATAGATTTTGTGCAATATTTTAGAATTCTAACTATATGAATTTTTTTTTCCAAAAGAGTCACAAAACATATAAAAATATTTAAAGAGATTGATTTAAAATAAGAAGTATAATTATATATTTCTACTAAAATAAATTAAAAACTTTTTTTTATTAAAATTAGATTTGTTCTTCAATGGATTTATGTATATTACATTTTTAAGAATATATAAATTTAATTTTAAAGCACTCATTAGAATTTATTTATTTCGAAATAATTTTGGCTTTGAGTTTGAGATTAATATAAATCTCTATCTTAGAAATAACCTTTTATTTGAAAAATTCTTTAATAGGTAAATATATAAACTAATATAAAAAATGAAAATAAAGATAATAATAATAATAATAATAATAAATTCTATAAGAACTTTTAAGATAATAAATTTTATAAGAAAGTTATAATTTCTTATAAAAAATATCTTATTTAAAGAAGTTACATATAATAGGTAAATATTATATATATATTAAAAATAATAATTATCATTTTAGTAAAATTTATAAATTCTTGTCTTAATATCTTTATTAAGCAACTTTATTGATTTGTAATAAGCTATTTTGCATCTTTGTAAATACTACTCATTTTTTAAGACTTAATGCAAATTCTAAGAAAGCTATTTTTCAGTTTTAAATACATAAATATTAGATAGTAATTTTTTTTAAAAAAATTAATTTAATAAACTAAAAAATATATATATTATATTTATAACTTAAAAATATTAACTTAAAAAATCTTTACCAAATTTAAAGTTCAAGAACTAAAATTTTCTATTTGAATAATTTCAATATCAACCACAATGTGTTATATAATCTTTACTATTAAATTGTTTAAGAAAATATATAAATATAGAAAATAATAATTATAGATAAATAATAAATTTTATAAAGGATTATATTTATAAAATATATAATTACTTAAGAAAACTACCATTGTATACAAAGAAACCAAAGAGATTTGAATTAAAATTAAAATAAACAGAAATTTGTTGACAAGAACAAAATGAATTTATTCTTATCACTATATATATACTAGCTAATACAAAGACTAAATAGAAGAGTTTTGGTAACTACAGAACTTACAAGATAATTTCTTAAATTATATTAAAAAATTTATATAAATTAACTTTCACATTGTCACATCTATTTTTTTAAGTTGGTAGTATTGAATCTACTTTATAAGAGGTCATTTTTAGAATAAGTTCATTTTCACCAAAACTGCAAATATAGTAGCTAGTTTAAGAATTTTTTTAAGATAAAAAATATTTATATCAAAATATGAAATATAAAAGTTATTATTAAAAAAAGATATAAAGTTACAAGTTCATAATAAAAATCAAATCTTATTTATCTTTTGGATCTTTTTTTAATCTTCTAAAATATTTTGGAGTTTTCTTTCTTTCTTTTTTCTCACATATCTTTTAGAGATCTTATAAACTTCTTGAACAATTTTTAGTTTCTGAAATTTATACAAAAAAACTTCTATAGCATTCTATAACCATTTAAAACTCATTATACTCTTTTAGATGTAATTAAAGTTCTAATGATTTCTTTTAGAAGCTTTTCTAGGATCTAATTGCTATACAATAAAAAGATAAATAAGATAATAGATACATAAACCTCAAAAATATAAGTTTTATTATTTTCTAAATATAACAAAGTCTCTTGTTAAAACATTAGTTAGAATTAGTTTTTTATCTTAATTTTTTATAAAAATTCAAATCTTTTCTTTGAAGTTCTTTTTATTTGCATTTGCAATTGAATATGGTCATTTTCAATACGTATTTTATTTTTTAAGAATTTTAAAAGTAATAAGTCAAGATAGTGCCCTTACAAATTTTATTATAAAACCTTTGCTAACTATTATTTTTAAAATAAATAAAAATAAAAACTACCTAATTTATTTTTTTTATTTTTGAAAATTTTTTATATACCTAGTTTAAATACACTCTTATTTAAATCTATATTAATCTTAATATTTTAAATTAAAATTATAAAAAATTAATATTATCAAAAATTATTTAGAAGATATTATCCTTTAAATAGATTATATATATATATATATATATATATATATATCAACTTTAAACAAAGTCATATTTTTTTATAATATCCTAATTAGAATCAATACATCTTACAATATAGCTTTGAAACTCTAAATTTAAGAGACAAGGTAAGAAATTATAATTTTTAAATCTTTTGATTGTTTAAAATCTAGAAGTCTCACTTTGTTATTTCTATTGTAGAACAAAATATTCCAAAGTCCTCAAAATAAAAGACTAGAAAGAATATTATTTATAATATATAACATGAATAGTGTTGTTTCTTAGAATACATTTGGATCCATCTAAAGAGGTGGTTTTTAGAAAAAATCGAGAGCCTTATCATATATTGCAAAAAACAAACTATTAATAAAATAAAATAAATAAAAAACTTTTTTACATTTCTTATATTTATTAGAACCAAGATATAAGTTGATATGATTTAATTTATAATAATAAAAGAATGATTTGGATTATTTCACGATCTTTGCTCACTTTACATTATATCCAAATATTGAAGTTTCTAAATGAGGTTTTTTTTGTTTTTTTATGTATTAAACAATGAACCCTATTCAGACTTTTGAATCATGATCTTTAAACGTGAGCTTTTAGATATATAGTCAAACTTAAAGTTGCTTACAGTAACCAAAGTATCATTAATATCTATGGTTCTTTTATCTTTGGGTTTCATTAAAATTCTATTTAACTCTAATTCAAACAATCTTTTTAGTATGAGTAGACATATCAACCTAGGTAGCACATCTCCAATTTTAAAATGTAACAAACAAATAATTACATTGTTTTATACATTTAAAAACTTTCAATAATATGCTTATAAAATTTCAAAGATTAATATATATACATATATATAGTTGAAGAATTAAATTTCTTTTCAGCTTTAAGAGGAAATTATTCGAAATTACAAGCAGAAGAACAACCACTCTGCAACATACTGTAACTACTATTGAACAAATTAAATCTTGAAGCAATATCTTTTTACCAATTATTTTTTCAAGAATGGTGGAAAAATCAGTGAAGTGGGTACTGATCTTACTAACATGTACAACAAGCTCAAACTGGAATTGCAGAAGTTATGAACAAATATCGGGACTGTCAAAATGATATGACTTCTACAACAAAGCATTTAGAAAAGAAAAGAAAAGAAAAAAACAGCTATAATATAAATTAAATCGCTACAGCTTCAGGTCTTCTGAGATCTTACAAATTGGACCGATCAATTACCGTCTAAACCATACACTATACAATCTTAAGTAATTTTCTTTACTTCTTTGTTAGAGCCCGATATTTATTCTTCCGTGCCAAAAACTCTTCCACTAAGTACTAACTCCGAAAAAGAATTGTCTGAGCCAAACAATTTTCCATGTGAAACCTACATCAAAATTACTTGAAAATAAAAGACACTACAAGGTATACCTCCAGCTTCTTGCACCGACTGTAGAAGCATAGCTTGCTACCGTCAGTTTGTTATGAGCTAAAAATAAATAGAACCTGAAAGCAACTAAACAACAGACAATCTAAAGATGCCATGTGAGGATTGAAGCCTTCACTCATTCACACAGAAATATTTCAAGCTGGGTACGTGATTAAGGTCCATACCGCTCATACTCCTGGAAGGCCTCCTTCTCGGGGAGCAGGTCTTGCTGTCAACAACGGTTGCAGTGCTTTCACAACAATGCTCATATTGGGGCGAAAACTTGGCTCGAATTGCACACACAATGCTGCGATTGCTGCTAACTGCGATTTAAGTGAAAAAAGAAAAAGAAAAAGAAAGCAAACAATTACCACCATTTTCAAAACGAAAATATGAACATCTCGACAATATGGCATCGAATTCAGCATTAGGAAAACCGAGAGTTAACAAAAGGCCCCCCAGTTCTCATTTATCGAACTGTGCATCTTTTTCCAGAAACTAATGAAAACCACAAAAAATTAAAATCTTAAAAAATTAAATCAAATCCTCAAAGGCCATCTTGCTCATATTTACAGCTCTATCAAGTGAATGATTTGAAAATGACCTTAGCAAGAGCCTTTGGAGGATACTCCTTCAATTTTGGATCCACGCACTGCTTCACCTTATCTTCACTCAACCTCGGTGTGGCCTGCACGTGAAAACACAGCAAGTTACAGTCCTCTGAATACACTGTTGTGAAGGTTGGAACTGAATTCAGTCATCTTCACCACGAATTAAATGAATATAAGCACAACAGGTATATATCAAATCTGCAAGGCACGACTACTTCAATATCACAATTGCACCGGAAATGCGGATTGATCCATTACCCAGGTAACAAGACTCTGCTGCCCGCGGGGCATCGTAGGATCCACTGGTTTCCTTCCTGTCAAAAGCTCCAAAAGTACCACTCCAAAGCTGTATACATCGCTCATCTGATTCAATTGCCCCGTCATTGCGTACCTGAGTACAAACCAGCGCGTCAGAACTTCCAATCAAACACAGCACGTTACCTCTTCCATAAACCTGTCCACCTGTTCCCAACTGCGAGAAAATGTGAAAACCGTTCCCACTGGGAGACTCCACTATCATTTTCCATTCTTGTCTGCCATCCCAACTACCAAGCACCCAATGATACTACATACTATGAACACCGACTAGAAAACTCACTCCGGTGCGTGGTAGCCGAAGGTTCCAAGAACACGAGTGGAGTGTAGACGCGCAGCCATGTCGGGCGCCTGGTTCGACAAGTTGAAGTCGGCTATCTTTGCCACATACGAATCAAACAGCAAAACATTGCTCGACTTGATGTCCCGATGAATAATAGGTGGCTGTGCCTTCTCGTGTAGATATTCCAAACCCCTGGCAGCTCCCACTGCTATTTTTACTCGCTGCATCCAATCCAACACTGGCCCGGGCTGAGCACCCTTCACACCTTTCCGTCCTGCAAGTCATGAATCTCAAGTTCCCACCCATGTCAGCTACCAATTCTCACTTCCTTGCGTTCCAGGTACAAGCAGACAAAGTACTCAGTACTCCACACTCTTGGAAGAACACCGCCGTATGATCACTTCCACGATATCCGGAAAGTGAACACACCAACAGGCTCTTCTTTGTACCTCTTCAAAAGAGGGAAATGAAGAAAAAGGACTAGATTATGCTGCGCAAACAACAGCATTTACTACACGCGCTTGCTCGTTCACGAAATCAGATTCGACACTTCACAGGTGCCTACTGCAAGTCGTCCATCGGTTACTCTCTGCTATTCATCGGAGCACGCACCGTGGAGAATATCGTGCAGAGATCCCATGGTAGCATATTCGTAAGCGAGCACCTGCAGCTGCCCATCCAGACAGTATCCAATCAGCTCAACCACGTTCTCGTGCTTGAGTCTGGAAACAAGTGACACCTGCACGTTCAAGAAGGCACGTTCAGCCTCGAACTTGGAACACGAACTTACACAAAACAGTGAAAGTGGCGACAAAGAACTGACACACATCCTAGTCCATTCCGGCACTAGCACAACATAACCTAGCGGGTGACGCATGGGGTCTTGGTCCTGAGTGAGTGATATCACAGATACTCCAGTATCGGACTCCCAACCTACTAGATCATCCTCGTCAAGCTACATTCGACTTGTCCATTGAAAACATCTCAAACAGCCATCCCGTAAGAAGAGATTGAGAGGAGAAACAGTTACCTGCGAAAGAAACTCCGATTTCGGATGAGTATTTGCGTGCAACAGTTTGATGGCAGCCACGTGGTCAGGAAAGTTGGCAAGATACACCCTAGCGCATGATCCCTCACCGATTAACGACTTTGGTCTAAAATTATCCGTGTTTTCTCTGATTTCATCGATAGACAACTCTGGAGCTGTAATGGGTGGAACTGTTGTTGGCCCTTGAGGGGCCCTCAGCGGTGGATCGCCAGCAGTTTGTCTCGACATACCTTGGTGACCTAACAGACATCACAGCTCTTGAGATGTTGCATGAATAGGACAGTGACGAACGCAGGGACTGTGATGAAACGATAAACTGAATCTCAGTGAGTTTGACTTTCAAAGACGGATACTGCATTGAAAGTAGAAACAACACAAAAAAATCGTGTTCAACCTCCAAACTTTATGACACAAGCCCGACTCATAAAACAGAAAAAAACTAACAAAAAAAAAAAAAAAAGGGCAAACGATCACGTGAGCACGAACTCACCCATGAATCGATCGTCAGCAGGAAATAGGCTGAGTGTATCTGGATGATCCAAATTGGGAAAGGTATTGCCCCGAGGCCAACACCAACAAGCCATTTCTATTCAAAAAAAAAAAAAAAAAAAAAAAAAAACTGCGCACAATACTCCACCACACCAGCTTCCTCCTCACAAGCCCTGCAAGCCCAGCGGATTCCAAACCTGCGACCAAGGGACTGTCAGTGCCAACAGATTCCAGCTCGCAGAATCACACACAATTCATACCTCCGACAATCTCCAACGCCCTCACACTGAAAAATTGGCTAAATTAAATTCTATTCCACCTATAGATCAGCCCAATTGAGTTCCAACAAGTAGCCTGATCGAACACCTTGAATCCACACACACCCCCCCCCCCCCAATCGACACGGTTATTAGGAACAAAGGTGGTGTCACGAGGTCTCCAAGCAACTCCGCACTAATCGACAAGCTGGGAAATTTGTTACAGCAAGAGAGAGACGAGGAACAGGGAACGGGAAGAAAGGAAGGAGACCACTTCTACTACTACCACTACAACAACAACAACAACTGGGAAGGAAAAGGAAAAGGAAAGACGACGACGACGATGTAGTGGCAAGTAGATGAAGAGCATGCACAGAAGAAGCACCACAAGACCCACTGGGAACGAACGAACGGGCATGGGGCCGACACGGTCTCGCTCCGCTATGGTTACAGGGGGCACGCGGAGGCTTTGACTTGGGGCTGTCTGGATCCACTAAAGGTAAGGACTTGGATCGGGCCGGACCAGGCCGGCTACCGTTTTGACCCATTTCTCGGATGCACCCGCGTTTATTGTGTGGGAGGGAGCTTGTCAGAATGCGCCTGGCGGCTGGGTCTCTCCGTCCACTTATACATACATATTTTATTTTATTTATTTATTTATTGTCTTTAGACTATTTGGAATGTTCGAGAAATGCTCGAGTTATCGAACAGTATGATTATATGGTAGGGTTTTTATTATTATTATTATTATTATTGTTATTATTTTGATATCGATGAGGTCGTTGAGCATGAATGGCTTTGTAGAATTTGAGTGCCTCCCTCTTTGAAAATATGGGTTTGATCGATAACACCGACATATGAGGTATGAAAAAGAAGGTTCGGTTTGATTTTATGGATGTGACAAATTTCAATGTATTATTGTGATGTGAAGCTTGATTTATTTAATTTTTTTCAAACAAACGAACAATGAAGCCGTTATCTTGTGTTTGGTGCGTGTCTAGAACTATCTCTTACAAGCCCTGGATATGCAAAAGCAATAAACATTTATATATATATATTCTATGAACTTGTGCTAGAACCAATAACACTAATCAATATGTCTTCTATGCTATATTAAGTCAGACAATATTTAAAAATATAATATGCATACTTAAAAACATTACTATTAATGGATACTAAAATTGGGTGTGAGAATAAATATTCAACCTTGAATAAAACATTGTCGAAATTAAAAAAATGGGGTAGTTTGCTGTTAAAACATGATAATCTCACTACCAAATAGTTCAAATGAAAAGATGTGGTATATCTAAAGTGCATCAAAACAGCTGTGAATTCATATGAGCCATGAATAAAAAATTCGCAATAGATAGTTGAAAATAAAATTTAATGAAATAAAATTGTTGGAATATATATATTTTTAAACCATTGTTGTGCAGAAAATTATTTCAGCAGTGCAAGTACAAACTCCACTTACGTTATCTTTTCTGATCTCAACCAAAACGTACCACTTGATTTATTATTCGTATTCATATGTAAATTGTATGTTAAGATTATCCTACCAAGAATAAGTTAATACAAAAATATACTGTCATAACATATTTTGTCTTTTATTATTTTCATTCATAAAAAGTTTTATACTTCCTTTCTGTACAATATCAGACCATGTTAAGATTTGACTAACAGCCCAGAATAAATTATTGGTAATTCACATCACATAGAGGTTCCAGGTCACGTGTTCTTATTAGACCGCATAATACGTCAAATGGTCGGGATGATGAACACAAAGTGGCCTAATTCCTGTTTAAAATAATAATTATTTCAAATCTTCACTCCGAGAGATTACTATGCATAAACAGTTTTTCCACTTGAAAAATATACCTGTAATTTCAGCTAATTATCCAAGATCCATTGATGGATTGGTGGTTCTCTGAAGCATTGGATTCGAAGTTCAGTAGATGAAATGTCAAATTTTGGAATCTGTAGATGAACAACATTTAACTTTACTCAAGAATATTATCCATCTGTTTCTTTCTATTATCGATATATACATATATAATTTTTAGTATGAGAACTTTTATGATTATTATGTGAAGAAATTGAGTATCTGCAACACAGAATTGTTCAAAGTGAGTTTAAAAGAATCAAGATTTTTTATTAAATTTCGTGTGTAAATAAACGTTTTTTTTTTTTTTTTTTTTTTTTTTTTGCTAGAGAAAATGGTTTTATAAAATAATAAGATAAAAAGTAAAAATAAAAACTAAAGAGTTTCCATTAAAAATGTGCAAATATTCATGATTATACACGCATACACAGAGTAAAAATCCTGAAATTTTATGCTACACCAAGTAAAATGTTTGATTCAGTTTAGAAAGATATAACAATAATTATAATTTTTGACAAACATTCCATCTTTTTCCAGTTTTAGATGTTTTTGAAACTTTGAAAGCTCAATATTTTTTCACAAATTAATCATAATATTTATGAAATAATTAAGTGTGCTCATATTTTAATGTTTATTTACAAAAAATCAATGAGTAAATTGTACAAATATATTTAAAGATGGAATTTTTTAAAACACTGTATCTAATGTTCGAAAATTGGTATCTTTTTGTACAAACGTTGTTCCTTCCAAAAGTAGTATTGGTATTTCATTTCTTTGATGTGATTAAAAAATTCTGTAAATATTTTTAATAATCAGGCTACAATATAAAGTGATAAACCTAATGATGTAATAGGAGAAATCACTTGTACCTTTGGACAAAAAAATGCAAATCGACACAGTAGAGTGCAAACCTTGATTTATTAACCTCAATTAAACATTTGAAAACAGATAAATCTATTAATGATAAAAATAGATTTGTATAATATTTCTTACCAAACAAGTAAAAGTGCATATATTTTGTTTAACCTACAAAACATCGACTTTTTTTTTAATCACCTTTACATTAGAATACCATTAATTTCTATCATGTCAACAATCATTGCTTTAAAGTAGCAGTAAGATCTCAAGCCTCATGAAGTCACATTAACATAGATCCAATCAAGCATCTTATTCTGTATTGTGTGATAACAGATATCGTTACTATTAAAGGAACCCGTAGAGTATTGATTCCACAAATACATACTTTCAGAAATATGTGGTAAGTGACAGTTAATCATGCCAAATCATAGACCTCAGTGCAATGATGTCTACCATTTTCTATAATACAAAAGTCATTCTTAAAGAATTACAATGCATAAAAAGTAACAACTGGTTTTATAGCAACAATGAACGTAATTACAGTGAATACTCTTTAAAAATAGCTAAGTATGTCAATATGTACTTTAAGTAAAAAATTACTTACAAGTATTTAAAAAATCAATGAATATATCTGAAAGATATGTTAATTTTTAACTAGTTCACTAATTATATGTATGAATATACTTTTTGTTTTGATTTTGTCCTAACTACTAAGTAAAGATCGTTTATTCAACTATATAATCTATGATTACATTATGATTTTTTTAAAGGATAATCATAAAAAAAACAAAGTTAATCTTCTATAGTTGATAAATTTAATTAACTATTGTTAGTGCCATAGATGATATCAACAATTTTTAGCAAAAGATGAGACATTGAAGGTTATTATATATCAATATAGTAAAAAGATCAAATAAAGTAGTGATAGCAAAAACTATTAATAATTAGTGATAGAATTTTTGCAAAAGTATAATAAAAGTAGTAATTAGGAAAACCTTAGGTGTTACAAACACTCTTAAAGAAACACACTTACTTTTTTTTTAGAATTTGGATATTTAACAATTAGTGTTGTAAATATGACATGCTAGTTTGTCAATTTTTTCAAGTATTTTGACTAGGCAAAACTATGTATTATTGTTGCTTGAAAGAATAAAAGAGAGAGTATTGGTTCATTGAGTTTTGGATACTTGTAAGCTGTGTGGTGTTTACATAGAAGTACCATAATAAAATAAGTGTACATATTTTGAGTATATCAATGTTTCACAGTTATTGTTCCATAACGTGTCTAAGACCATCACTACCTATAAACAAATATTTTGGCAACCATGATTGGTATAGTTATTTAATTCACAACAATGAACACAATGAATGGTATCTAAGTCTATTTGCTTAGAAGTACAACTCAATGAACCACTAGTACCAAAGGATATAACTCTAAAAGATGACATATCTAGAAGAGAAGGTAGTAAAGGCAAATTACCTCTCAACTTTGTGGAAACATCAAAAGAAAGATTGAAAGAAGAAGAGTCAAGTAGAAATCTCTTCAAGTAGGTGAAGCACTAAGTTCTAGCTATAAATACTAGAAATGTGGAAATAGATGTAAAGATCTAAGAACTTGCAATAAGAATACAAAGTCAAAACATTGTCATGTTAAAAAAGACTTCTATACTTATTCTATCTCAATTTCTAGCAAAATTGACCACAATAGAAGTTCAAATGTTCATAATGACATTGATTATTATATCAATTATAGTAGAAACAATGATATTGTTTAATAAGTTATAACTCTTAGTTTTATATCTAAAATTTTGAATAAGTAATAATCTAGATCAATACCTGTAATATTTCAAAAATTTTGCTACAATTAATTAAGTCATTGATCTAATAGAACTTTAAAATCTCTTTTTTATGACTATAAAAGAAATGGCAATTGATTAAGCTTATGACATTAAAAAACAAAACCTTGTTGCATCTTGAGAGAAAATAGAAAAGAGATTTTTAAAGAAATTTCATATTTTTAAAAGCAATAAAGAAGTATTGTAAGTATTGGATGTGATTAAACAACATCCAAATGAATTAATAGATACCTTTTATAATTTATTCAAGAAAATATTGAACAAATTAGAAATACTAGTTAATGACTCCATATTGTGTAATTGATTCTTACAGGGTTTTCATACCTTGCTCTAATAATAATTAATTTATATTTGAGTTATCATATTATACAAAATAATAGACATAACTATACGACCAAGTGATATTGTTAGTCATAATATACCGCCACTAAGATTGGTATCACAATTGTCTATGTGTAACATATGTAATTATCAACATTCATTGCCTAGTAGATAGGATCTTCATAACCTTAACAACTACCTTGAAAAACAAATATTAATTAAAGCAAAGGCATTACAACCAAATAAAGTCCACTATGATGCATTTTAACCAAATTAATAGCCATGTACAAATGATAGTTGTTAAAAGTAAGGTTCCATCCAACATTACTATTATCATTTTCTAATGTATAAACGATAATAGCCACCATTTTTGGTAATGACATATTATATATATTATTGCTTGATGATGCATTGGGCACCTAGCTATAGAAGGTAAGTAGAAAATACAAAAAAAATCCT